CAACTTTCTTTGTTGATAACTATCATGGGAGGCTTAAACCTTTAATGATGATGATTACGAAGGCAACAATAGCACCAAGTGTGTATAGTGTTATGGGTCTCTCAGCATAGGAACCAGATCAAAGACCAAATTACAATTTGATTAGAGCTGTTCATTACTGAGCTCAGGGTCATCAGCCAACTCTTACACAGAAGACTGAGAGACAACGAATATGAGTAGCAGAGGGTTTATATATCAGAAATCACATGCTGTTTGGTAAGCAAATTTGTTATTGAGCACAGAACAGCAGAAAACTACATTCATTTGACACAGCTGCAAAGTGTAATTAAGGAATCTTACAGTTTAACAATAAGCATATATTTTTATAAGATACATCTTAAGCTGACTATGTTTACAGGAGATAATTAGGAAGGGAGTTTGTTTCAGCTCTCTACCTTGACAAAAAACAGTTATTCACTGCTAAACAGCCTTGAGCAGGGAGTGAGAACTCATTCCTTAGAGTAGATAACAGGAAGCACAAGGTTTCTCCTAATAATTTCCCACAGGTGAAGCACAAAATTCAGTTAATCCATTACATATAGCATGGTTACTGTGTGTCAGGTGCTTCTGTAAGGATGGATGATCCTATGTTAATATGTTGAACCCACTGAACCCCCAAAGGAGATAAATATTTTATCTCCCATTGACAGTAAAAGAACTGAGACAATCAGCACATAATGCACCCAAAATCACACGGTTAATCCTTCAAGCACTGTAAACCACTGTACTGTGCTATGTTTAAGTTTATATTTTCTGATATTTAATATTTCAGAAACATACTTAAAACATCAAGCTAGTTATTTGTATTCCAAATACATTTCTTTTTTTTTTTTTTCATTTTTCTTTCTTTTTTTGGTGGAATCAGGGATTGAGCTCAGGCCATCCATATACATTTCTTAAATGATATTTATTTTTTTTTTTTACATAATTTTATTGAGAAAAAAATAGCAATGAGACAGTTTCAAACCAAACTGCTAGGACAGATTCAATAATTAACACATTGCATACATTCTTCCTAGTGGTTAATTGCTGTACAAGATGCGGACATGATATCCTATTTACAAACTTAAATGATATTTAGAAAAATCCTCAGGGTGTGGTGGTGGTGTACCAGTGATGCCTGTGATCACAGGGCTCTAGAGGCTGAGACAGAGGATCACTACAAGTTTGAGGCCAGCTTTGGCTACATAGAGTTCAAGGTCAGCCTGAACTGAGATTTTTAGAGATTTTTTTGTCATGGTTTCTTTGATTTAGAACCAATCTCAAAATATTTCCTTTTTCCTCAACAGGCTAACATCTTGGCCATGGCCCCACTTGGAATTATGGTAAAACATGGAGAACATAAAACTGATTATTTTAATCAGGTTTAGGCACACTCTTCAGTTTTTATGCAAACATTATCACTGTTCATCACCAGATCGTTGATATCTTCCCAAGCAGAAACTCAATATTTAACCAATGTCTACCTCAATCCCAAATCTGGTAACCTCTATTGTACTTTCTGTCAATAATAATTTGTCCACTTTTGGTACCTCATATAACTGGAATCATAAAATATTTGTTCTTTTGTGTCTGGCTTATGTTACTTTAGCAGTGTTTTCAGAACTCATCCAGCTCTAACATATCTCAAATGTACCTTCCTTTTAAGGCTGAATTAAGGTCTATTAAATTTATAATTATATGCCATATATTGTTTATCCATTCATCTGTTGATTAACATTTGGGTTGTTTCCCCCTTTGAGCTGTTGTGAAAAATAGTATGCAAGTATTGGCTTGAGTTCCTGCTTCCAATTCTTTGAGTGTGTATCTAGAAGTAGAATTGTTGGGTGATATGGTAATTTTATAGTTTTTTCTGTGGCTATGGCATTTGCATTCCTATCAGCTGTGTGCAAGTTTTTTCAAATTTTCCATATCCTCATGTACTCCTGTTTTTGTTATTTATTTTTATGAGTAAATGGATGGCTAGGGTGTTTCCCAACATTAATAACCAATTCTCCAGTTCTCCAGACACCATTTTGCTTGCCCAATCACATCTGACACCAATTACCTGAAGTTAGCATTAGATTCCAGAGATTCACAGGTTCAGTGTCATAAGTCTCCACTTCTGATACCAATTGATAATTCCAGGCCATCTGTAATTCTGTCTCATCAACTACATATGGGGAGCTCCAATAACTCCCTCTTCAGGTTCTACCATTCACTAGAATAACTCAGGAAATAGACTTGAATCATTTTCCTTATTCATCATAAAAGATAACACTCAGGAACAATACATTTGAAGAGATGCATAGCCAAGTCATTGTTGGGGAGTGCCAATCTTCCATACACGATCTGTGTGTCTCCATCTTGGAAATTAGATGAATTCATGAAACATAAAGCTCTCAGTTCTTCAGTGTTTGAGGGTGTTTTGGTGCATGCCAATAATCCCAGCACTATGGGATGCCCAGGCGGGTGGATCCCAAATTTGAACTCAGCTTGAGCAATGAAATGCTGTCTCAATAAATAAATAAATAAATAAATAAATAAATAAATAAATACTAAAACGTCTGAGGATGTAGCATGGTATGAAGGTCCTGGGCTCAATCCCAAATACCATCAAAAAAGAAAAAAAGTTAAAAAATGGAATTCTGTCTCCAATCCTGTCTTCCTTCCCTTCCCAGGAGTGTGAGGTGATACTGAAAGTTCCAACTCTAGTCACCTGGACTTTCTGGAGACCCTCCCTATCCTGAGGTTACTTAAGGGGTGTACCCACTAAGTCCACCTGTAATGGAAAGGGGGCTAACTATAAGTAAAATAATACTCAAGAAATTCCAAGGATTTTAGGTGCCTTATGCACCTAAAACAAAGACCAAGTATATCTTTGTGTTCTACCACAAAAGTAGTAGTTCATTGTGGTTTAGACTTGAATTTCCCTGAAGACTAGTGATTTAAGCATTTTTATTCAATGCTGAGAATCAAATCGAGAGACTTGCCCATTCTAGGCAAGTGCTCTGCCCCATGCCATGACCCTAGCCTCCTGGTGAACATCTTTCCATCCATTGTCATTTGTGTATCTTCTCTGGAGAAACATGTTCAGACCATTTGCCTACTTTTTGAATTGAGATGCTTGTTATCTGTTAAGTTGTGAACAACATCTCCCTTCTCTCCCTCCCTTCCTCTCTTTCCCCTTCTTTCTTTACTGCCTTTTTCTGCCCTCCTGCCCTTCTTCCCTCTCTCTGTCCTGGGGTCTTGCACATGAGTTACATCTTCAGCTATTTTTTATTTTTGAGACAGGGTCTCACTAAGTTTCCCATACTGGTCTTGAATTTGTGATCCTGCTTGGGCCTCAGCATCCCCAGAAGCTGGGATTACTGGTATATTAAGCCATTGCACCTGGCTTCATTTGATCTACATTTGTCTTTATGCCAGTTGGAAACTGCTGTGATTGTAGTAGCTTCATAAAAAGTTTTGGAATCAGAAGTGTGATGCTCAGCTTTTCTTACCTGGTAATTGTTTTATAGTTTCATCTCTTACATTTAGATCTTTGATGACATTTGAGTTAATTTTTGTATATGATTTTATAAGTCCAACTTCATTCTTTTGGAGGTGGATACACATTTTCCCCAGCATCATTGTGGAAAACTTAGTCCTCTAGTGAATGGTGTTAGTGCTCTTGTTGAAAATCATGTGACCATATATATGAGGGTTTATCTCTGTGCCATGACTCCAGTTATTAAAAAATAGGCCCTATATTTTTGTTGGTACATGACATTTTAAATAATGTAAATATGCATAGTATATATGGTTATGCTAGAGGGTCTAGCATTAATATAGTAATATAACAAGAGAAACATATCACCAAAAATGACTTAAAGCACAAATTTATTATACATATGTAAGTGTGGTTTTCTGTGGCTAAAGCTTTATATAATCCAGCAAGCTTTTCTATATAGCAAGAGGTATAATACTTTTATTTTAATACTGAACTAATGTTTCTCTGACAACAAGGGAAGATTGAAATAGGGAAATTTGTTTTTAGTGGTAACAGATGTTTTTCTTGGATGTTGCTTTAACAATTGATAAAATAGATTCTATTAAGTTTTAACATTAAACTTAAGAACAGTGAAACGAGATCAATGAGTACTAAAAAATCTCTACAAAACGTGATTTCTACAAAGCAGAAATAAAAGTTTTATAATTTAAAACAGCAGCATTTTCAGAGGATTTGCAGAATTAAAACTTTACAAAAAATATATATATATAAAGTGTCATCTCAGATGATCATGGATTTTTAAAATAATATCACAACCCCTGATCTCTAACCCAAACCTACTACTGGATGTAGTTGGCCAAAAATATTTTTTACAACACTTTTAAAATAACACACATACACAAAAGAAACCTCCCAATTCTCTTGTGTACAAGCACAGGTTACAGTGTGCTGGCTTTGACTTTTATGTACAAAGAGAATTTTAAAAGAAACCAAGGACCATATAAATAATCATTTTACTTGTTATTATGTGACCAAAGCAAATTAAAACAAGTACTAACAATTGAAACATATTTTGATGTAACCAGTACATACACTGTTCATGACAAAGATGAAAAAAGAAATAAAATAGTCTACAAAAGCCACAAGCACCATGTTTTAGAAAGAGCACCAAGCAACACAAAAAGGCAACATGTAAGAGGTAGTGTACCACCGGCTAAGATGTACATGTCCACTGGGGACTTGCATACAGCTTAGTGTTTGGGAAGGTAAGACATTAGGCCACACTTGCAACTTTTAGACAGAAGCATTGCACCTTTGGAAGCATTAGCCAGTATTGCTCCACAGTGCCCTGCAGCTCCAGCTGTCTAATGGGTACATTGTTCAGTCAAAAAAATAAAGATACCCTGAAGAATTCCATGTTTATAAATTTTTTTGTTCTAGGGAATTCTCTGACAAAGCTCAGATCCATAAATTTTTTAAAAGAATAAAATACTTTTATTCTCAATGAGAGTCCTTTAACAATGCCTTTGCTTTTCTTCCTGAGATTCTCGAAGATTTAGCCAATGTCTTTATTCCATGCATTTCAAAATGACGGTATTGTTTTTGTCTATATTTTTCCCTCTGCAGCAATTATGACCACTAGCATGAAATTTCAACTAATCCAAAGACTTTAGAGAAAGCATACAGAACTGCTTTCAATGTAATACTTTTGTTCAGTTTTGAGATGAGGAAGTTTTTGTACTTGGATCACTGGAAGTTGATTAGGGTCAAGAGTATGAAAAAGGAATTTTGCCTTATGCCAGCTGCCATCCTGAATCTGTAAAACAAGAACAAATGCTTTCAGACTTGTTTTCATTAGCAGTGATTCTCAGTAGACAGTGACTTTTACAGAAAATGTGTGTTTAGGGATTAGTGATAATGATAGTAATAATTACTACTACTAATTAGAAACACAGGCTTATTACATTCTTTATGAAGTTACTGATTCTGATTTTTCACAGCCAGATGCTGTGAAAAAGGCTTCTACTTCTGTTAGTAGAGAATTGTTGGACCAGATATACATTAAAAGGCTGTTGTAGCCCTAATACGAGCAACAATCCTTTGTTCTCTGTTTCTGCATTTGTGGATTACTCTTTAGGATGAGTATTTTTCTTGGGTGAAAGAGAATGCCTTATTTGAACTTCTGTACTTTCAGCAGGAAAAATTCATATCGCCTGAGTCTGAAGTGGTTAAAGTAGAACCACTGAATCATTTTTTAGTTTTCTTCTATTCCATAATTCTCCATTTATATGGGTTCCTTCTTTTTCCCCCTTCTTCCAGACCTTTCTGTTTTCTTAGTGTACATTCTATCATTTCCAATAAATTCTAGGAAACAGAACATATTACACAATGTCCCATGATGAAGCTTCAATAAGACAAAATAGATAAAAACAACTGACTAGTCTTGTGGAACTTTTTAGTCAGAAATTTGTTCAGTTACTTTTTCACAGAATTATCATATGAGTTTTAAAATTTAAAGAAACTTTAGAATTCTTGAAATACAAATTTAATTTTTGAAGCTGAAACTACTGAAGTTCACTGGAGATAAATTGTCTAATATTTTAAGTTTGGTGTGATAACTAGGTCTATAATTCTTTATGTAAGATGCTGTTAGAGTCATTAAGTTTTTCAAGCAATATTAACACTAAGTACATTTAGGACACCTGAGTAAGATGTAATTTTCAGTTCTACAGCACTGAGAAAATATAATGATGAATAAATTGGTTCTGGGTTCTAAATTCTAGCAGCTTATAAATCCAGCAGGAGGGGGTAGAAATATCAACAACCATAATACAAGACCATGTAAGATAAGTAATGTACATAGTGCAGGTTAAATTTCTTATGTCTAGCTAGAATTGTCAAGACATGCATAAAGAAAATTGAGAGTTTAGATTTAGTAAGTCTTTTTTTAAATTTTTTTTTATATTTATTTATTTTGTGTGTGGCCAGTTCAGCCCACCAGGGGGCGGGGCTGGCTGGCATGTGGTGCTGGGGATTGAACCGTGGTCCCTGGGCTTTTGCTTAGCTTGTTCTAAGTAGGTGCTTTAGACCACTGAGCCATCTCACCAGCCCTAGATTTAGTAAGTCTTTTTTTGCATTGGGTCTTCAGTTTAACTGGCAATGTCAGAAATTATTGACCTGAGTCCCGCACAGTTCAGTAAGTCTTAAAAGTATGCTTAAAGTTTTTACTTGACTTGAGATATAGAGAAGGGCATTTAAGGAGAAAACAAGGCATAAAGAAAATAGACACCTATAAAAAACCCCTCAAAAACCAAAAACCAAAACCCAAAAACCAGATGGGAAAATATATGGTTATTGTTGGGATTAAAGACACAGACTTTGGCCAGGAGCAGATTTTAATAGAAATCCAAATCTGACCACTTCCCTCACAAATAAATGGGAATAATAAAAACCTATGTCATAGGGTTGAAGATTAACCCATAGGTTGAAATTTCAAAAAAAAAGTCCTTAGCAGTACAGGTTTGGGCTCTGGAGCAGTGCATACCTGAGACTGTTTTCTTGCCCCTCCACTAATGAGGTATATGACCTCAAGCAAATTACCTTGTTATGTTTTCTGATTTTTACCTATAAAATGGGACTAATTATTTATTATGGTATTACGATGATATAACACAGTGTGTGTACTCCATGGCCATTTATCTAATAATAAACAACTAATAAATAGACATAGGAGTTGTTGCAAGTTGTTGATATGTTTGACCGCAGTTTAGACCGCCAGTAAAAATTCAATCTGGGAAAGTAGGTTGAGGCCTGGTTGTCCTAAGTGCTGAACAGAGTTGATAAATTTGGATTATGTCTCACAGGTATGAGTGAGTCACTAAATGTTTTTGGAAAAGATTGTAAATATTACCTAAATTTGTTGGTGATATTGATCTCTTCAAATACAGAAAGTAGGAGCAATGTAATCTAGACTGTTTTATCTATGACTAATTTTCAAATAGTCAAGCACTATTTCTCTGGGAACAAAATGTTATGAAAAGTACAATCTTCTGGAAATGCTGAATAGATCATGGGCTTCATAGAACAGTAAGTTCTATTGATAAAACAGACTTTATTTTCTCTAGGGAGGGTTTATTCTCTCTTGGTTCTCTAAAGGACCAGATACAGTTTTGTTAATCATATTGTCTCTGTCACATGTCCTTTTCTGTGCTATTTTGGGATGATGTTAGCCATAGATTTGTGAGTGAGTGTGATAAAACTTTACTTATAAAGACTGGTGGTGGGCCTGAGTTAGTCTATTGACTGTAACTTGTCAACACCTGCTCTATAAAAGTGTTTTAAAATAACATTTTTTATGGTATTTAATTTTAATAATAAAAATGAACAATGGTTCAAATACTAAATAGGGCCATCTACAATTATATCTGTGTTTATTTGTATAAGGTCTGGCAAAATGAAAAAACACTAACTTATTTCTATAACCTGTCCATACAGTCATGAAATATAAAAATCATAGTAATAAAATATAAAATCATGAAAGGAATTTACACACTCTAGCTAAGCTAATCTAGAAATATTTATGCCTATAAATATATCCATCTAGATATATTTATTTCCTCTGGGGGTAACTTACATATTAACACTTATTTTGCATGTAAGTATCTATGAGATGCCATAACAAAAACTAACATGCTATAAACAAATGACTGAGCCAAAGAGATGCACCATATTAAGTTATATACATTAAAACTTACTGTCCATCTGCATGAAGATTGTAGTTAAACTCTTACTCAGTCTTCTAATTTTATAGTTTTACCAATGTTAAGTTATACTAAATGATCAAAAATTGTTGCTTTCATACCTTGCAGTCATCTGAAAGCACTTCAGGTTCCAGTAGAGTGTTTTCTTCAAAAACCTGACCATTCCAGCCCTTGAAAGCAACAGGCAATCCCGGGCCACTTGTTTGTGCATTTGTCCACCTCAAGGTACTCAGACAGTGAATGGTGATGGCGTGGGTAGCTTCCGAACTCAGTAAATGAAGGAAGTTCATCTGGACTTTCCCAACTCCAAACTCCAACTAATGCAACAGAAAAAAATACGGGTTAGAAGATGAGGCAAATTTGAAACTTCTACTTTGGGGAAGCTTAAGAAAGTCCTTGAAAGGAAGTCCAAGAATGCTACTTTTCTTAGAATTTAAATGCTAGGCATTGATGTGCTGGTAAATGCATGGAAAAATCTCTGCTCGTAGCACTGTCTGATTTCCATGGTGGAAGCATGCCCAGCATGGCTAGGTGTAGACTACCCAGGTGATGTCACTGGATTTGGAACGTGGAGAGACATGAAGTCACAGTAGGTTCTTTTAAGCCCATATGAACTGGCTTCAGCACAGCATTACTGTAATATCTAATAAAATAAAGAAAATAATTTTTATGTTATTGGATGAAATGCAGCAATAATTTATTTTAGATTAGTGCTTTAATAATATTTTCCCATAAAAATCTGAAATTATGTTTGTACCTTCATTTAAGATTTTCTTGTGTGAGTTTCCAAAGGTAAGTTACAGATTATAATTTGAGTAATTTTGACCATGACAGCTTTTATGGACAAGAATGAAAACTTATTTTTTTTTTTTTTTGTGATGACAGACCCCAAAGAAGTTATAGTCATACAATGAGTAATCAATATTTATTGAATGAATGAATATATGAAAAAGTGTTACTAAATTAAATGAACAACATAGGAGAAAATTTGACTTAAGGGATTTTGCTTGCATATTTTCTAGGCTCGGTTAGGCAAGTAAAGTTTTTGATAGTTCTAGACATTATTATTATTATCATTGTCAGCATTACTCAAGCAAGGAATAGTCATATGGTAAGTGGACAGAAGTAGTTTCTACTGAGGAATTTATATTAATCTCCAAGCATAAAAATAGAAAAGTGTCAGTGATCAGGTAATGGAAAAAAAGAAGCAATAAAACAAGAAATCACAAATCACAGGAAAAGAGAGGAAAAGTCAAAGAGAGGCATGAAAACCTAAAAATGGAAGGAACCAGGGATTGAATTCAGGACCTTGAGCTTGGCAGGCAGGTGCTTAGGCCATTAAGCCATCTCCCCAGCTAGATTATATTTAAAAAAAAATTTAATTCCTTCATTTTTATAGATCAAAAACATGTAAAATATCCAGCCTTCTGAGCCTTAGTTTGCTTGTTGGTAAAGCAGGGTGTGGTGAATACTAAAAGTAACAAAGGTAATTTACCTCGCCTACTGCCTGCACAGAGCAGGCCTTCTGGTGGTTCAGTGCAGCACTAGAATAGACCCGTCATTTCTAGTCTTCCTGAGGTTGAGTTTATGGAAAGGAAAAATGGAAGAACTGATGCAAATCACAGAGAGAACTGGCATACGGCAGATCTCTAATGATGCCTATGTCCCTGGCACAATATTCTCCTCCTCTCCAATCCCTTTGTATGATAAGCCAAATCAAAGTCTTGGGGCACCTTCCAGGGGGTGTTGGAGTTTGATGTGGATATTTTGGATGAGGGACTATCTTATTGCGTTTTGTTAGAGGCACATGGTTTCCTTGGGATGGAAGACTTCTTCTGTCCATTTCAGGGTAATAATGGTACATAGCTTTTGAAACAAAACAGTGAAGAAGCTGACTAAAAAAGGAGAGGTTCATTTAATGATAAGCAGCTAGAGACGTCATTTTAGCTACTGCCTTTTAAGGTGGACAGAACACACAACAGGCCATGTATCAATTCTTTGCCAGAGAGAAAAATATTCTTGGTACCATGCCAAGCTGGTTTAATCAGAAAAGAAACCAATGTAGCTTTGATTTTAACATATATTGTAAGTAGAACTAGGGTTTAGACTTTATCAGTGCTTGTCATAACACCCAGTGTTAAACTAAATTAACTTATTTTCATTCTAAATAGTTGATTTATAGAACTACACTTGGCATTTTAAATACAAATCTGTGGATATTTACAGGAGGTTTTGATGTGCCAAATCGCCAAAATAGGAAGCTTTTGTGGCTTCAGTGATGATGCTGTAATTTTCAGCAAAACTTTTGGCAACTGGTTATTGATTACCACATTGCAGCTACTTAGGAACTTTCGTAATATATGTGTATATATCAAAACATAACATACATTTCATAATTTTTAAGGAATTTAAAAATTATGATCATTAGAATATGCCAAGCTGGAAACCAAGGGATGGAGGGAGGCGGAAAGTTGCAGAGGGGAATGGATGAAAACAAAAGAGTTAAGATGTGTCCTGTATGGTTACCAACTTCCCATGATGCACTACAAGCATGTGCAAATAAAATTAGGCAAAAAATCCACAAAGCAGACATCAAGATCTACTGTGGTTTAAAAAGATATTTCTTATATATGGTATAGCATAAAGGACACCTGATTTTGTTCTTAAAATTTATGACTAAAGTCACAGAATTTTCAAAATAATTATTTATGGGTACTGTGTAACATACTATGACATATTTTCTTAAATTCAATTCATACCTTTGTCACAGAAACAGGAGATAAACATGTCTGACCACCAGCACTAAAATTGCAGAAAACTTCAATGGCGTCTGAAGGGCATCCAAGATTAGGATCAATCCAGTATTTTCCTATTAATTTATGGTAAAACACAAAGTTACTTAAATTCCATGCTAAACTATGACATATATCGTAGTATATACTTTATTTATTATCATAGTCTTCTCTGTTAAGATGCTTGGAAGCTTATAAGCCCACTGACATTTAGTGAATGGATAAAAGCTGTATGCATTCTGTAAAATGGATACTGTTTAAGGGTATTTCATAATTTTAATTAAGATGATAGAATGGTTGAATCTGCTGCTTTGTACTGTAGGTAAGATGAACTCAAATAAAAGTATTATAAAGTTAAGTAATTAATGAAAAGTTGAAGTTAATGAGGTATATTTGTAAAGTTCATTGGTGCATATTTCTGTTTTATGTTGCCAGAAATCTAACACAAAGATTTTTGTTTAAAGTAGAAACAACCTCAAGTCAAGTATGGTGGTCCATGCCTGTGATCCCAGCACTCAAGAGGCTGAGGCAAGAAGATTGCCTTTGAAGCCAGCCTGGGCTCTATGGTGTTCAAGATCAGCCTGAACTACACAGGGAGACACTTGTCTCAAAAACAATAAAAAATAAACAAACAACAACAACAAAAATAGAACAACTTCAGTCTCTAAGGAAAAATATATCTTAATAGGTAATAATGAAGATTAAAATAAAATGAAGAAAACACTTTCTGTTTTTAGAAAGATAAGTGTATTTGTATCTGTGTATTCAAAGTGGTTAGGATAGATACATAGTTACATTCTGTTAATGAATAGAATGATTTGTTATAGTGGTGTTTGTAAATAGGAGCTCAAGTCCACATCTTGTACAGCAATTAACCACTAAGAAGAATATATGCAGTGTGTTATTTGTTGAAACTGTACTTCCGATCTGATTTGAAACTGTCTCATTGCTATCTGTTTATAAATAAAATTTTGAAAAAAAAAGATAAGTGTATAATGAAATGCTTATCACATTTATGCTTTCTGCTTCAGATTCATAAGTGGGAAAAGCTGAAGTCTTTATGCCACGATAAACCTGCCAATTTTTGCCTGCATCGAATCTCTCAAGACCCTAAAATGGAGCCTAAAGTCAGACTACAGAAAAGCACCACACTAGCATCTTAATTCCAGAATGACAGACACAGAATATTGAACTAGTATCCTATTCTAGACACAGAGGAAAGGAATTTCTGGATTAGGCAGGCTTACTTTCTTTCCTTTAAAAGGGAAGGCATCTGCACAGCAAATTCTGTATCTTCCCCACAAATAAATCAAATTTAAGGTAAAGTAAAATGTTTAAAGGAAGGTGTATCTATAGTAGGACTGTGCAATACTGTGGATATTTGAATATATACAGTTTTTTATTACAACAATGAAATGAGTAAATTGGAAACTTCTAAGTGCTCTGGTTTTGTAAGGGATGCATGTATGATACATTTATTCTGTCAGACTAAAAAGTATAAGATTTATGACATTCTCTTTTAATTTATAGCAAGTTAGATAATGTATTGCCATGAAAAATACTTATAGTAAATAGCATTCTTTTCCACCAAAAAAAGGCAAGATGAAAATTTCTACAGTAGGTCGAGATCCTTCTCCATTTCATCTTTGCACCATAGCAAAGATTTCTCTAGTTCACAATCCAAAACCATCTTTGAGTGCTCTCCCTTCGACAGTCATCTAATCACACAGAATGTGTACTTGCTGAATTGACAGCTCAAAGGTGAGGGAATGTTCTCTATTCCAGTGGTTTTCAAATGTTAGTGTGTGTCAAACTATCTGTCAGAACCCATAGCTGGGCCCCAAGTCCAGAGTGGCTGATTTATTAAGTCTGAGGTGGGGCTAGAGAGTCTGCATTTGGAGCAATATTTAATTCTGGGCTGGGGGCCACATCTGGAGAAGCGCTGCTCTATTGATAAATGGAGGACAGGGTGGAGGACACCAGTCCTTATTAGTCCCTTTTCATCAGAATTTTTAACATTTTAAAATTTATAGGATCTGAATTTTTGGAATCTAACGCAGTCTTCTAATCTTATCAAAGGAAGTAAATCACTCTTCCTTTCTTCCAAGAAATACTTTCCTCCAACTGTGTGAGGTAATGCCATATTTTGTTTTTTGGTTTATTTTTTGTTTTGTGAAAAGTGTTTCATGAAGCAAACTCTTGTATAGGGTAGAACGTTAGGAATTAATGCATTATGTTACACAATAGCAAACGGATATGCACTTTGTAGCTTCTCTCAAGGCATGCCGAGCTAGAGGTAAAGGCCGAGGAGTCTAAGAAAAGAAGTAGGATATATGTATACAAGTACAGATAAGGGAGTAGATGTGATACTGGGAGCCTATTTATGACACGTGAATAAACCATGTTCTTAGATAGTTTATAATGTATATTATACTCTCATCTTTAAATTCTACCTCATACTTACTTGTATTCTCTGGGTCTGTCTCTATCTCTCTTCTTTTGTGTAGTGGGATTGGGAATCAAATCCAGGGCTTTGAGCATGTTAGGGAAGTATTTACCAGGGTGCTACATCTCATGCCTTTGCTTATTTATTTATTTGGGTACTGGGTATTGAACCCAGGACCTTCATGCTCAACTTAATCCCCAGCCCCCCACCGCTTTTTCTTATGTAACAAATTTTTGAGGTCTAGTCTCACTAAATTACTAAACTGTCCAGGCTGAGGGCCAACTTGCAGTCCTCTCTAAGAGAGTCTATTTTTAATTTTGAGACGAGTCTTGCTAAATTGCCCAGGCTGGCCTTAAACCTTTGATCATTCTGCTTCAGCCTCCTGAGTATCTAGAATTGCAGATGTGCACCACCATGCCTGGCTCTTACTCTCTTTAGCCTCTGTTATTATTATGTGCTATTTTGCCATCTAAGTATTCATGGTATTTTGTGAACTTGTGGGTACCTACAGTTTGGAACTATTTTAACTGAAGTTTAAAGATGAAGATTTTCTGAGCTTTCCAAATGATGCAAAGTGAGGCTGCCATCTGCATACACGTCTGTTTTCTTCTAATTTAACCACAGGGTATCTTCCTTTGAAAGCCTAAGTTCTCATCTTTAGTGAGCCACAGATTCTGTGTTTGACCCTTCGCCCCATGATGCTGCCAAAAGCATCGCTCAGCTTCCCAACATACCAGGCAAAATCAGCTTCAAGTCTTAGGTTCATGTCTCTGATGTCTCCAAATTCTTGCCTTGAAAGTTCCTTTCTACTTTATCAGCTATTTTATGTTTCAAATTAAAAAATTAATTTGAATTACTTGTTGCATTACCAGGAGTAGAGAAGAATCCTTAGCTCCATTATTTTCTCTTAAAATCTGATGAGGGTTTAATAATTACCAAACACTCTCGATGGATGTTACCAATGAGGCCTGCCTTGTTAAGTCCAATAGCCTTTCTTAATGTTCATTTCACTTGACATTAGTTCAATTAATCACTTCATCTTCCAAGCATTTTCTTTGATGTCCAGGATACCACATTGATCTAGTTTTCTATTTTATTGCTACTGCCTTAGTTGAACTTGGTAGTTCCCTCTCACCTCTCTGATCTCTGAACACTGGAGAACCACAGTGCATGGCTTTTAGACTTCCTTTTATTTCTCTACCTACTGTGTAGGTAATCTTAAACAGTCCAAGTCTTAAATTCTATTTATATCAAATGACCTCATAATTTTTACCCTTAGCTAGAACCTGTCTTGACTTTGTTTTGGAACAGCGAACTATCTACTTGACAGTCTTCCTTGAACCAACAGACATCTGAAGCTAAACATATCCAAAGCTGAACTCATTTTTTAGCCAAGTTTCCTCCTTTCCCATCTCCATTTCAGCAACTCTATCTGTCCATGGTACAAACCTTATGTCACCTTTTACCATTCTGTGCCTCTCATATCCCACATCACATCTATCAGCAAAACGTGCTAGGCGTACCTTAAAGCATATCCAAAATTCCGATGGTTTCTCACCATTTTCCTGGTCAACAGTTGTAGTCCAATTCATCACATGCCTCCTGCATTATTTTACTAACTTTTTCAGTGGTTTCCCTACTTCTACACTTGCCCTCATTATATTTCTAATACATAAACCAGAGTAATATTTAAAACATGTAATTCAAATTATGTTATTTCTTTACTCAGAAATTTCCAGTGTCTTTTCAAGAGCAGGAAGGTTCTACATGATCTGTTTGTTTTTTTTTAAATTATTTTATTTTGAAGAGAAAAAAAGCAATAAAAACAATGATATAGAATTTCAAAACACACAAGAAGAGATTAACAATAGTTAATATATTGTATATTTTTATCTTTAAAGTAGTTGCTCATATTAAAAGATAGGTATTAAAATTAATATAAGCACAGTTTTTAATGAACTAACAAACTATTAGTATAATTAGCACATATATATATTTTTTTCCCTTTCTCTTCTCCTTTCCCCTTTCTCAGGTGTTCTTTCGCTTTGAGCCGCTTCTTCTCCTTTCACAGAATCTATTGTATATTTTGTATCTTATTTATCCTTTCAATTTCTTAGGGAGACAATACATGCATGTTTATACATGCAAGTCTGATTTATTCCACTTATGAATATGGTCTCAAGTTCCATCCATTTGCTTATAAAAGCCTTGAGTTTATCCTTCTTTTAGTTGAACTTACTCTGTTGTATAAAAATACCACACCTTTTTTATCCATTCCTCAGTTGATGGGCATTTGGGTTGTTTCCAATATTTAGCTATTACAAATGTGCTGCTATAAATATGAGTGCACATATATTACTGTGATATGATTTAAATTCTTCCTGGAAAACATCAAGAAGGGGGATAGCTGGATCAAATGGAACTTTTGATCCTAGCTTTTTGAGGAATCTCTATGCTGATTTCCACAGTGGTTGTACCAGGACACAGTCCCACCTAACAGTGGAAAAGGGTTCCTTTTCACCTACAGCCTGCCCCAGCATTTGCTATTGGTTGATTTTTTTTTTTTTTGATCATAGCCATTCTTTCTTTGGTGAGATGGTAACCTCAGTGTTCTTTTAATTTGTGTTTCTA